TGAAAGATTTTGTAGAAGTTCACGACTCCTTTCACTATTAGCACCTTCAGGGCCAACAAAATGTTGGATGATAGTGGTAATGAGTGTATAAACCGCATCAGCAGCAGGGCCTGATTGCTGAGTAGCTTCATCTTTAACAATCTTGGTAGCAGCAAAGATTTCAGCTTTCTGAATGTCAGTGAGAACATTATCCCACCATCCTTTAAGGATTCCTGTAAAACCAGCAACGACAAACTTAGCAATGGTTGGGTCAGTATTGTGGTTGATTTTACAGACTTGGCTATACATCAAGATTTGATGAATAACCTCGTAAATCTGATAATCAGATTTGCCATCTATGTTCCATTCATAAATGGTCTTGCCATGAAAAGATTTCTGAGTATGAAAATAATCTTCTTCATACAAGATATCTTGAGGTGTGGGTCTGGGATAATAATATCGACTCGGAGCAGGGGCTGTATTTGAGTGGATATTCTTATCATAGACAATTCTGTTGAACTCAGGTAACTGAGTAAGATCCTTTAAAACTTCCTCAAGATGAGGGGACACATTCTCAGAATCAGAACCAATTTCAGATTCATCATGGGATAAAGTCTGAATTTTGAGTCCTTGAATTTTCTGAGTAAGAAGAGTAAGAAATTCTTCATTCTTCTTAGGATGTGTCAGATTGAAGCCTTGGACTTCAATTGCAGGTTTCACCAATGCGTTGGATAAGGAAGCTTCTGGAGGAGAAGGTTTTACAGAAATACTCTTAGTATTAATTGTATTTAATACTGTGTCGATCCCTGTTTCAATTCTCCCAAGCTGGGATCCTATCGTTTGTAGGCAAACATTGGTGTAATTGTTCTGCTTGTAAACATGAGTAATGTCCTTTCTAGTCGCAGTACTAGTTGGATCAATTACTTTTGGTTGGCTATAAGCCTTGGTTTCCACTTTAGAACCACTATCTGGGTCAATTCTTTTCAGAGTTAAATGGTCAGGGGGAGGATGGACGGAGTGGAAAACCTTATCTTCAGAAGTAGTCCATGGTTTAAGGAAATCATCCAATATGTTAATATTAACAAGAGAATGATTGGTCATATAGAACCAAGAAACAAAAGGTATAACCATTTTGCGTTCTTGTATGAAGTCATAAAATTGGGTTTTAAAAAGCTGTAACTGATTTTGGTCAAAACTTTTAAAATACCAACTTCTGAATTCTTTATATTGATCCTGTTGGAATTCAGCATTAATGGCAATTCTATCTGGGACAAAATCCATTAATATTCATGAGGATCATTGATGTCTGTTGGATCTTCAAATTGATCCTTAACAGATTCGTTTCCGATTCCCATTTCAGATGGAGTTGGGCTGAATTCAATTCCAAATTGGCGACGAGACATACCTATTGGTGCTTTCTCGTAAACTCCTCTTGGAATTTGATTCGGAGATTGTTGTATTCCTTTCAGCTTGAGCTTGGAATCAACTGCTTCAGGGAGTCCTTCCTTACGGTAATCTGACGAGATCGAATGTCGAGAAGGAGGACAGGAAACACGGTAAGGAAGCTGACTTCCTTTCGACGATGCAGATCTGGATAGATCTATAGATTTTCTGAAATTCAGAAAAACATCACCATCCTGGTCCTGAATAACACAGTCTAAGCTATGATTAGCAATTGGCTGTGCTGGGACGGCATTAGAAATCGTCCAGTGTTCAGGAAATGTTATTTCACTCCAAGGAATCATCCTTTTTGTGGCAACATTGGAGGTGTACATGTTAGTATTCCATAACGCTGTTACTCCTTTAGAGTCTTTGCGTATGGCCTTGGGACACATAGTATCCAGTACTTTGTAATGGATGCGATAAATAACACTTATCACTTCCGATCCAGGTAAGTAATCATATCCATAAGTCTGTATCCTAAGACTAACTGCCTCATGGATATTTTTATCGGTTAACGATAAATTCAGACTAGGATATACATCAAAGTAAACCGGTCCATGACATAGACTGGTTTCCAGGGCACCCATCAAAGAAGGGTGGAATTTCAGACACCTAGCATCCCTTAGGGTTGCTTGAATACAAGCATCCATACCCAACAAGGTCAAAGGTTTGAAAGCAATTTGAATTAAACCTATATGGATGTACTTGTATTTATGCATGTGCCTCTGAAGGTCACGGGAAGACAATAACTTAATTATTGTATCCTTAGTGCTTAATTGCATGGTCTGTTCCATGGTCTTGATAGTCCATAGATCAGCTAAATTAAGCATTCCGATTTTGTAAATACTTTTGGCACTTACTGGAGGGATAGTCCATTTGTTCAATTGATTTTGAACATTGGTCCATTCCACTACTTCAGTATTTTTTACCAGTTCTGAATCCTGGTTGTCCTGTATTCCTGAAGAGGAAGATGGTTGTAACATGTCTGTTAATTATTGTTAATACTCTAAGGTCTGCATAGTATAAATATTATCCTATTATATAGTGAACAGTAAGTTACTATTCTGTCGTCTTTCTGCTTAAGAGAGATTCTATTACTCGTCTGTCAACGATTTACTGGAAACAATACCCTGTGCAGCAATTTAATGCAAAATGGGTTAAACATTCCAACGCGACTTTTGGACGACCCATAATTGAATCTGGGATAAACATAATTCAGACAGAATAATATTCATATTGTTCATTACATAATAATGATAATAATCATGCTACCAGAACCTAAAAAGTATTAACAATAAGAATTTAAGCTATCATGGCTCTGATACCAAATAATCTCAGGATCGATGGATCGATGATACACAATGTAAACTGTAACAGATATAATAAACTAACAGATAGATATACTAATTTAAACAGACTTACAGAAAACTTGTTTCAAGAGTTGAAGATAATTAGTAGTACCTTCTTCTGATTGAGGAGCTTCCTCCTTGGTTCTACACTTGTTTGCATAGTGGCCTATACGTCCACATTTGAAACATTTAGCCTCAGCCTTGGGCTTTCCTTTACCCTTTGCTTTAGGAGTATATCTCCTTTTAGGCTTAGTATTTTGTCTAGAATTATCCTTTTCCTTTGAATAATTCTTTCTTTTAGAATACTTCCTTTTATAAGGTTTTTCAACCTTATTTCTTTTCCTAAGTTTAGGATAAGATAAGGGAGTCTGATAGGCAAATTGATCACAAAATTCACCTACTTCCTTTCGACCAGTTAATCTTTGGGATTTTAACTGGGATTGTAATTTCAGATCATTACAGAGAGCTAGACCTTCCTGGATTACAATGTTGACTAATCCACCATAGGTATAGTTTCTGTAAGGGATAGAGATACCATTATTCATATCTCTAAGCTTTTTCCTGATTCTTTCAGCAAAAAAGGTTGGCAAACCATCTACAAATTTGGCTTTCCAGTGCTCATGATTTGCATCATTGAGTTGGAGAACCTTTGCCAAGAATACATCTTTATACCACCGGAAATGAGTTAAAGATGGACATCCTAGATTTTTCTGATCATATCTTTAACAAGTTCAAATGGGTTAAAGATTTCAGGTTCTGGAATAGATAACTTTGGAATCTTATCCATATATTCCATTGTTTTCTTTCTGATCTGATGGAGGAGGGCTTGGATAGGCTCTTGAGTTATGCCTGACCACCATCTGTAATAAAAGATCCTTTGGAGGACTGGTAACTTGTCAGTGGTATAACCACATTGGAAATCCCATTTCCAAATCCAAGGGATTCCAAATTCAGTGAAAAATAATAGGGTGGATTTCCCTACAGGAATATTATCCTGTCCTCGTAATTGAGGATGAAATTGTTGCCATGGCAAATATAATTTGCTAATTGATTCAGGCAACATATCCAGATCAGGGCCAAATATAGCCCTGATCTGGATATGTTGCCTGAATCAATTAGCAAATTATATTTGCCATGGCAACAATTTCATCCTCAATTACGAGGACAGGATAATATTCCTGTAGGGAAATCCACCCTATTATTTTTCACTGAATTTGGAATCCCTTGGATTTGGAAATGGGATTTCCAATGTGGTTATACCACTGACAAGTTACCAGTCCTCCAAAGGATCTTTTATTACAGATGGTGGTCAGGCATAACTCAAGAGCCTATCCAAGCCCTCCTCCATCAGATCAGAAAGAAAACAATGGAATATATGGATAAGATTCCAAAGTTATCTATTCCAGAACCTGAAATCTTTAACCCATTTGAACTTGTTAAAGATATGATCAGAAAAATCTAGGATGTCCATCTTTAACTCATTTCCGGTGGTATAAAGATGTATTCTTGGCAAAGGTTCTCCAACTCAATGATGCAAATCATGAGCACTGGAAAGCCAAATTTGTAGATGGTTTGCCAACCTTTTTTATTGTTGAATAATTTAATTGTGCATTTTTCCAAGTTCCTGAAGTGAAGCGAACCAGCTCCTCTGTTCCTGTGTTTGGAAATATCTGGATTTTACTTCCCAAGGATCTGGCATCCATTGCTCATCTTGAGAATCCAGTACCAATACTGTCTGAATATACCTCTGATTAGGTATCCATGGAGTTTCTTGTTCAAGAACCTCTTTCATGGTAGGTTTCTGTCGTTGTTGTTGAGAACTACTGCTTCCTTTAGAGGTGAGCAGATCAGCAACATGCTCCAGATATGGAAACTGATCATCAGTGAGTGGTATAACCACTTTGGCCTTAGCCTTGTTTTTGCCACGAGCCTTTGGAGTATTACCCCGGCCCTGCCCATGGGGGGGCTGATTCATGAGCCCTGCAAAAATTCACGAGTCAGAAAATCCGGTAAAGAATTAGAACTGCCTTTAATATATTCAATAGAAAATCAAAAGCAGATAAATCAGCTTGCCAACCAGCAAATATCTGTTTGGAAACTAAATTTTTTACATCTTTTTCCAGTACTTGTTTAGCAGCACTACAATCAATGCGTAACAAGAATTTCTGATTTATTATTATTTTATCAAACTGAATAAATCAAATTGACAAATAGTCATATAGTTGATTGTATCATCAACTTTCGTACATTTCACAACATCTACAGTATTTGTTTGTTATCTATTTTCGGGAGCCCAAAAGAGATTTCGAAGAAACTTCGCGGAACAATTACTACGAAGGAATTCCGATACGCCATTATTTTTTATTCAGGTACTATTTCGAAACCCTAATTTTCTTCGATTACCCCCACAAAAAACCCTAATTTCTGAAGCTGCGATCCCCCAGTAAATTCGCGGGTTTGCTCATCTTCATCGAATTTCTTCAATTTATAGCTACGTTTGATTCATTACAATCCTGCATTCTCATATACTACGTTCGAATCTCCGTCAAATTCGAAGACTAGGGTTTCGTTGGTTATTCATCGAAACCCCAGGCTTATTACTTTTTGCATATTAGGGTTCGAATTCACCATTCTGTAGATAATATTTGATAGTAGGGTTCGAATTCACCGTTCTGTATATGATATTTGATATTCTGACGATAAAGATTAGAAATGAAGGCAATAGTTTGTGCTCGTAATAAAAGACGTCCTCAATTTCGGCGGATTTTAAATGGATTTTGCACCCTAGTCCTGATAATCTTCTTTTATAACCAAGAAGATATCTTGAGGAATCCACTCCTGAGGCAATCGTCTTTGAACTCCGATCGTCCATGGAGATCAAGAAGTGGGTTTTATGCTGGGGTGAGCGATACGATGGTTACTCACCGGAAAATGGTTGAAATTGGTGTTAATTCATCAGATTCGGTTGGTGGGTCTGGTCAAGATGAAGATTTGGCTGTAAATAACCCTGAATTTTGTGCTGGATTGTTAGAACATGAAGGTCACAAAAGCCACTGCGAGTTCTTGAAAGCGCATCCACAATGCTCCTCAGGTGGATTCTTTGATTACTTAAAGTTCTTTTACTGTGATTGCCAGGAAAGTGCATTGGCTTATGTAGTATTGGGTATATGGCTTGCTGCATTGTTCTATCTCTTGGGTAACACTGCAGCTGATTACTTTTGCTGTTCTTTGGAGAAGCTCTCAAGTCTACTGAGGCTGTCTCCTACAGTTGCCGGGGTTGCTCTCCTTCCTCTTGGAAATGGAGCTCCTGATGTGTTTGCAAGTATTGCTGCTTTTGTGGGGAGAGGTGCAGGAGACGTGGGTCTTAATAGTGTGTTGGGTGGGGCAGTGTTTGTTACTTGCATTGTTGTTGGAACTGTTTCTTTTTGTGTGGCGGATCAGGGAGTTCAGATTGATAAAAAATGCTTTATTAGGGATGTTAGTTTCTTCATCTTTACTCTAGTTTCACTTTCGCTGATATTGGTTGTCGGTAAGGTGAGTGTTGGTGCAGCAATTGTGTTTGTCTTGATTTATGTCATTTATGCCTTTGTGGTTGCTGCTAATGAGATTTTGAGGAACCATGCCCGGAGGTTGAAATTGGATGCTGTTACACCATTGCTTCCAGTCAGAGGAAGTATTTTTTCTCATGGGAACCCAGAGGATGATTCTGTATACAGCTCTTTGCTTGAAGTTGACACTGAAAGTGATTCAAACCAGTCCCGTGGTTCCTTGCCACAGTGGATGTGGGCTTCGAATGTAGCAATATATTCAAACCAGCCACTGAAGGCGCCAGATGGTGAGGGGCCTTTGTGGGGTTGGAATGATGAAGGAATTGACACAGACAGCACATCGTTCTCATGTTCGAAACTGTGTTCACTAATGGAGTTGCCTTTGACTGTGCCAAGACGGTTAACAATTCCCTTAGTTGAGGAGGAATCTTGGTCAAAGACATATGCTGTAGGCAGTGCTTCATTGGCTCCCATTCTTCTGGCGTTTCTGTGGAATACTCAAGATAACGTGAGTTCTCAAAGCAAAATAATAGCATATTTTCTTGGTGTTTCAATTGGTTGTACGCTTGGTGTTTTTGCATACCGGTATACTAGATCGGAGCATCCACCTCAGAAGTTTTTGCTTCCTTGGGTTTTAGGGGGTTTTTTTATGAGTATTGTTTGGTTCTACATGATTGCAAATGAGCTTGTTGCTCTGTTGGTAGGATTAGGTGTAATTCTCGGTATCAATCCATCAATCCTTGGATTGACCGTATTGGCATGGGGCAACTCAATGGGTGATCTGGTGTCAAATGTTGCGTTGGCCATGAATGGTGGCGATGGTGTGCAGATTGCCATGTCTGGATGCTACGCAGGTCCAATGTTCAACACACTTGTTGGTTTGGGGTTCTCAATGTTAATTGGAGCCTGGTCAGCGAAACCTGGTTCATACATAGTTCCGCGTGACACCAGCTTGTTTTATACTATGGGATTTCTCATGTTGGGACTTGTCTGGGCACTTGTTCTTCTTCCCAGGAATGACATGCGTCCTAGCAGGATGCTTGGAGCAGGCCTTATTACACTCTATTTGATATTTCTATCTGTTAGGGTGAGCTGTGAAATTGGAATCATATCATTAGCAGGTCTAAGTTGACATTTGGCACAGGTCATACTCTTATGAAGTGCAGGTGAACTTAGCAGATTTATTCAGGGAGGTGGAGTATTCAGACTGATCAACTGGTTATCTTGAACTCTATCTTACCGAGGGCCTGGAGGACTAAAAATTCTTGTGGTGACCACTGGCCGCTTCTTATACTGACATGAGATTTCTATATATAACGAAAGACATGTTGTAGTTTGTACTCATGCATTTAGAGCATTATGTAACCTTGTTACCTGTATTTTAGGTTCCGAAGGTTTGTGTAAAAATTACTTGGGCATTATGTTGAATAAAAATTACTTGGGTCCATTTCGTTGTTTGTGCTTCCTTTGAGTGGTTGGCCTCTATTAACTCCCGCATTTTGTTGAGGACTCTTGATATGGCTATAGCAGGCTCATAATCTTTCACAGGTTTTCAAATCTTATATTACCAGTTTGTTGTACAAGTTTGCATATTTGTGTCTGTGCATGTATCCGAGGTTGTTCTTAAATCTTACTAGTAATATAAATTTTGAGTTTGAGTAATCTTCCTGCAATTGCAAGGCTAAAACTCAGAGCGCACAGGTTAAAGTTGATATTTTAACATGGATTTGAATATGATTGCAATGGAACGTGGAGAGAAGAGACTAGCTGCAGTAGTTACATACGGGAGTTTTTCTGTCATATAGCTATCCTGTGAAGCTCCTGTAACACTATACATTAAAGCCTTTCTTTGGCTGTGCTATCACTTTAGTTTTTCATCCAATGTTAATGTTTTTGCTGCAAAACCCCTCGCTAACCTGATCATATTTCTCTAACATTTCATCAGCCTCTTATGCAATGTATGCATATGATCGTTGCATCTATTTAGGAACCGAAAATTGGATTTTGTGCATTCATCCATTGTTAATGTTTTGCTGCTAAACCCTCACTAACAGTGCATGAGAGGAAAAGATTAGTCATGGGGGAAAAGAAAAGAAATGAGATAAAGGAAAGAAGATTAATAGTTTATCATGTCTGGGAAGAATAATAGAGACAAAAAAACAAAAAAAAAAGAAGAAAAAAGTGAATGGTTTCTTTTATGGGCAAGACAGGAATTTACTTATTAGTATAAAAAATGAGGGAATGAACCGGAAGATTGCCGTTGATGTTATAAAAAAAAATACAAAAAAAAAATTCCAAAAAACTCACTAACGTCGCCTGAGAGATTCGAACTCTCGCGGGGAAACCCCATGTACTTAGCAGGCACACGCCTTAACCACTCGGCCAAAGCGACGCTGTTGTGGCATGTCACAAAAGAATCACCATTGAGCTAATTTTTAAAATGAATAGACGGAATGGAATGCCTTGACTATCCTATGCTAACAACTGACAAAGCCAAGTCACTAATGTTTTTGACAATGATACAAAATTGACATGCAACAATATTTAATGGTTTTGAACTGTCACATTATACTGATATAAATTATAATCAACCACCATTTCAAGCAGAAGTAACTATCTACAGTACTACAATTCCAATGGACCAATTTTTTAAATTTAAATTTGGGGTACTCTGCACAGGCAAACTAATCAATCAATGGTTGTGGCTTTTTTCTGGTATCAATGCATGAGAAAATAGGAGAGTACATTTAGGAGTAAAATATCATGTCATATATACAAATGGTGGGAAAATATTTATTATTATTTTCCACAAGGAAGCACCGTGACCATGTGGACTCACTAAAGCTATATATATTAAATAAATAATAATAATAATAATAATAAACCAATAAAGCTAAGAAGATGCAATGTCCTTGTTATTTAGTCAACCCTCCTCTTTTTATTACAAATCCCTCCCCCTTTCTCTCTCTCTCACACCAAATCCACCCGTCTCTCTCTCTCTCTCTCTCTCTCTCTCTCTCATGGCTTCAGCTCCAAATACCTCGAGCCCAAGTCTGAACTACCACCATCCAACCTCCATTCACCGATTTCCGAACCACCACAAAATAACGTTGAGGCGGAGGAGACTGCCAATGGTCCGACTTGGAGGGAAGAAACGCCGGCGAGGGTTCTTTCTGGTGAGACTTTTCCGGCGAGTGCGAGTGCGGTGGCTGAAGCTGAAGTACTCATGCATGCTGAAGAAACTCAAAGAGTACTATCACTCAGTGGTGAAAGACATAATGGAAGCAGGTGGGACAATAGAAGCGTTTCACCAGAGGATTCTCTTGGAGACCTCCTTTGCTGTTCCTGTCTTGGGCATTTCCTTCTCTAACTTTCCCAACTCCTATGCTTAATTCACATGCATCTCCTTTGAGTACTGGTAATCATGTCAAATAGTTAATTAGTACGTGTTCATTTCTTTCTGTTTGTGGGTTATTCGAAAAAATTAAAATAAGACAGCGTAAAATTAATTTCCTTTTGCTGGTTACAATATGTGTATGTCTGTGTGTATTGTACATGGTTGCAAGAAAAAAAAATAGAAAAAAAGAAGAAGCTATCTTTTGCATGATGGAGACTAGTAGTAATTTGTTTCCATGGGAAAATACACTCATGCGAAGAAGGAAAAAATTATACAGGAACATACATACATATATATATATATATAGATACATATTTGTGAATATAGATTTGAATATTTAGTTTACACCATCTTCAATAGTTTAACCTTATAGAATATAGATGGTAGTTAGCAAGATGTATATGCAATTTTTTTTGAGGGGTAATTTCACTTACCTCTCCTGAGGTTAGGCTTAATTATAGACAATACTCCTAACATTTTGAAAATATCACTAACCTCCCTCCAATGTGGCTGGTGTTGGTTTCAAGTAGAAATTCATGTTAAATAAGTAAAATACCCCTCTAATATTATATTAATATGACAGAATATAGAATTTTCTGTGAAATGAATATATTGTCCAAAAAATAAAGTTATACTTGTGTAATGATTAATATACACAACTACATATACACACCATCACCGCCGGAAATCATTTTCTCCGGCGACCTATTTTATTCCATGTAACCATTTTTTCCGACGATATTACCACTCACCTTTCCCTCTCTATCACACACACTGTGTATACATACACAGACAGCTACCACATGTGGTGCCGCGGCCACAACCATCACCATTATAATCATCACCACTGGCAGACTCTTCCTCTCCGACAACCAACACGGCACTACCATCCACAAGTGAAGCCAACCGTGACAACCCAAAATAAGGAGAAGAAGAAAACTTAGTGGATCCAAGAATTTTTTAGAGAGGGAGAGTGTTTCAACTGGGTCAAACTTGTGTATATCTATATATTATATATAAATTATGTACATATAAGAGAGCCGTGCTTGTAATAGGTGAGAGAGAGAGAGATTGGGATGTGTATACTGATTGTTTTAAGGACACATGAGTAATTTTTAGTTTAAAAGTAAGAGTAGAAATGTCTTTATAATTATAATAAGGACAAATGTGACATTTCATGCTAAAAAATGGTTGACATTATTATTGACCGGCGTTGACCGTCACCGGAAGGGGCAAAGTGTTACATAGCTGGAGTTAGCTTTGAGGGAGGTTGGTGTAATTATTGAAATGATAGGAGTACTACTTGTAATTAGGCCTAAACTCGAGGGAGGTACGTGAAATTATCCCTTTTTTGGTGGTTCTATGAATTAATTGAATTCTCAAGAATATAAATAAGATAGAATAAAATCAATTTTCTTTTGTTGTTTTTGTGTGTGTATAATCTAGCTTGACATGTAGTATGTTATATACATGCATAATTAGTTATGAAAATGATTGGAGTGGAAAATCCTTTTGTGGGAGATCAGAAAACAATTATATATACGTACATAATATTGTAGCCAATTAACAACATGACTATATAAGCATGTTGATGTATTAACAACATACATACATAAATATGAAATTATATAAGCAATGTTTCCATACTGATATCGAAATGTTCCATATATCATGATTTACTTATATATATATAATTGTTTTCTAACATTACATGCTTTATATAATTTCATATGACGAATTCAGTGACTAATTGATATCTCGTGCTGTGTGTTGGCATCTTTACAATTTCAAGTCAAACTTGTAAAGAATCAAAGTGTAAAAAATAAGGCTTCAAATCAGCCAGCCTATGGTGGATTCCACGTGGTGATGACTCATAATTGCAAAACTTAAGAACATGAAAAGCCTTTCATCTCCTTCTGTACATTTATATGCGTATAAATAATACAATACTTTTAGAGTATTTATTTAATGAACATTCATAGAATTCTTAATTTTTGTAATACATGAGAAATAAATATTTAAAAAGAAAAAAGAAAAGAGTAAGATTGTGCATGAGAAATACTTTTAAAGTATTAGTATATATATACTTTCTAATATATACATATACTATTATTATTATAATAATAATCCGTGGGTGAAATGTTATCAGCGCGTTCGTCACCCTACATGGAAAGTGCATATAAGTGACTTCAGGATGCTACTTAATAATGCTTCAAACTCCAACACACAAGACAATCCGGCTTGGCTACAAATTAATTTTAAAACTCTTATTAAATATTGGATATTGGAAATTGATATCATACCAGATTGGGTTGGTTGTCTTCACTCCCCCATAATTAAATATGTTGAGTAAAAGATAAGGTTTATATATAAATTAATAATCATTTCGATTTTCGGAACCAAACAGCTAGAGCAGTCAAAGATAGTTCCCATCCAGCTGGTAATTAATTTAGATAATTAAGAATGTATGAGACAGACCCTTATCTCCGAGTAATTGGAGTTGTTGATAGTGGTCTTAATTAATCTTGTTCAAGTCAATTTTTAATTATAAATGAGAAAATATTATTTGCCGTAGTGATACACTAATGTAAAATTTTAAGAGTAATGCCTGGATCGTGTCAGATAAGTTTTGTTCTATAATCTGACGTGACTCTATCAAAATTTGACATGTGTCCCATAATAAAAAATTAAAACACACCGAATCAAATTCTCTAATAAGGTAGAATCCAATTAAAAACCCGTTTTCTCTCTCTCTCTCTCTCTCTTTTTCTTGACTTTCCCTTTATTTACTTTTCAGGCTCAACTCTTCTCTCCTCTTCAGGCCCAGACAACTCTTATACGTACCTTTCCCAATACTTTCTCTCTCTACCCATTAGTGTTGGGGTGTTGGGTTGATATTTCTTCACCCAATTATAAATGCAATCTATTTTAAGGCTTACTGTTGAGAGAGATGAAGAGGAAAAGAGAGAATGGAGAAGTTTTTTTTTTTTTGGGGGGGGGGGGGGGGGGGGGGGTGGTGGGGGGGGAGGGGAAACGAATTTTTGTGTGGTGAAAATGATTTTTTGTGAGGTGGGGGGTTTCGAATACAGCGGCGATAGACTTCATTGCTTGTACAGGGAGGTGAAGATGGGGGCGGTGCCGAGGTAGCCGATGGAGTCGCCAAGTTCGGACCATATGACAATTTTGGGGCGGAGGGTGGGGACTGGGAAACGGTAGCACCGATGGGGGAGGAGAGGAGTGGTGGTAGAGACTAAGCCGAAGAGGCCATTGTTAGGCTTTGAGTTCACTTTCTCTCTCTCTGTATATAGTTTTGGATCTGAAAAAGCCAAGAAGAGAGAAAGAGAGAAAAAATGGGTTTTTAATTGAATTTTATCCGGTTGGAGAATTTGATTCTGTGTGTTTTAATCTTTTATTGTGGGACACGTGTCAAATTTTGACACGTCAGATTGTAGGACAAAACTTATTATGGTAGGGCAAGATTCAAATTTTAATTCTAAAAGAGAAATAATGTATGCACGAAGGAATCTTCGCTTTCAAAATCAAATGTAACATAGACAAAATCCTATTTCATGTCATATTGTGAAATGGGTTGCACTGCAATTATTATTATTTTCTTTGGCAATTAACAGCAATTTTTTTATTTTTTATTATTTTAAACAAATAATTCATGATGCATAATATTATTCTTCATAAAACGGCCTTATACAAAAGACACCCAATAGCGACCTATGTTGCGTGTGAAGATATTGTTATGGATATTTTAATAAAAACATAAATGATACTTAATATAATTATTTATTATGAATATTATTATATGAGTTACATACTATTTACACTATATATATATATCTACTATCTTTCTTTTGTGGTGTATGAAAATGTTACAGAGTGATACGTTTATGTACAAGGCTGTGAGCCTAATTTTAGAAAAACATCTATCTTGTAAAATATATTTATTTTTTTGATTAATTCAGAGAAAGTTGTAAACCCGTAATATGAAAATGGTACCAGACTCATACTTTTCAATAGAGGTAAGAGATTCGAGTTTAAGTGAAGATAAATGTATGTGAGTATCAATGGAGATAAAAGATTCGTTTTAAAACAAAATATTATTATTATTTGAAAAAGCAAATTCTTACCTCCTTTTTTTTTTCTTTTTTTTATTTTTTATTTTGGGGGCAAGTATGAGTATCAATGGAGATAAAAGATTCGTTTTAAAAGATTCTTTTTTTTTTTATTTTGAAATCTTCGCTTTCAAAATCAAATGAAACATAGACAAAATCCTATTTCATGTCATATTGTGAAATGGGTTGCACTGCAATTATTATTATTTTCTTTGGCAATTAACAGCAATTTTTTTATTTTTTATTATTTTAAACAAATAATTCATGATGCATAATATTATTCTTCATAAAACGGCCTTATACAAAAGACACCCAATAGCGACCTATGTTGCGTGTGAAGATATTGTTATGGATATTTTAATAAAAACATAAATGATACTTAATATAATTATTTATTATGAATATTATTATATGAGTTACATACTATTTACACTATATATATATATATCTACTATCTTTCTTTTGTGGTGTATGAAAATGTTACAGAGTGATACGTTTATGTACAAGGCTGTGAGCCTAATTTTAGAAAAACATCTATCTTGTAAAATATATTTATTTTTTTGATTAATTCAGAGAAAGTTGTAAACCCGTAATATGAAAATGGTACCAGACTCATACTTTTCAATAGAGGTAAGAGATTCGAGTTTAAGTGAAGATAAATGTATGTGAGTATCAATGGAGATAAAAGATTCGTTTTAAAACAAAATATTATTATTATTTGAAAAAGCAAATTCTTACCTCCTTCTTTTTTTTTTTCTTTTTTTTATTTTTTATTTTGGGGGCAAGTAAGTGAGTATAAGATAAAAGGAAAAATAATTACAAAATACATGGATCATAATCAAAGGCCCAACAATTGTTCACAACAAAAGGGTTCGGAAGAGAGAAAAAACAAAAGATCAAAAAGCCATAAAAAACTAAATGTCCACAATAGTGGTCCAACCAATACAGCAAACAAAAGAACCCAGTACAGCCCAGACCCAACAAAAAATAAAAACATTGATCGTGTAAAATTTGAACTTTTTATGCTTCGCGAGTTCGTTAAAAAAAAAAAAATAAAAAAAAAAGGGGTTTTGTAAGTTTATAAAATTTGATGTCAAAAAATATATATGTATTAGGGATGTCACACGTGCTAAATCACACGGATTAATTTGTCAAAACCAACGGGACTGTAAGCATAATTTACCCTTAATTTAAAACCTATTAAAGTCCGCAATTAACAATAGTGAAGCCCAAAAGTTAAGCGAGCACTCACTAGTCAGTCACCTGTACGCATCGAACGAATAAAGAGCGAATGCCTTTTCGTCTTCGTTGGAACTCTTTTCCTATACCAGAGTCATTTCTAAACCTAGCATAGAAATTCACCGTCTGCTTATAGCTTCAGGAGAGAATGAATCGTGGTAGACCCAGAAATTTCAGGGGCCGTCCCAATCCCAGAGGACGATCGTCACGTTCCGGTGGTGATTCTACACAGCGTTACGTCCCTGTAATGTCATCTTCTCTCTATTGAATTATCTTTTGTTAACATTCCAACTTTTCATCTTTCAGGTTATGATTCTACTTATTTACAATTTTGCGAAGCATGATTTTTATGGTGGGATTTAGCTATATATACTGAAGAGTGATATATAAAATTCAGAACACTGGACGTGCATTGATTAATAAATCAATTCTAGAATAGAAAATTGTAAAAGAAAACAAGGTCATTATCCGTATGGTCCCATTAATTGAGGGTTTCGTTAATTGAGGGTGATGGGAGGTGTGAATTGGGTACATGCACAATGTTTGTGAGAAGCTCAAGGAGGCACAGGTTTAGAAGAATATAGAGAGAATTGATATGGAATTATTTGGTAATTTGGCCATGAACAACCACTAGACTAGGAAGGGAGAGTTGGTGTGATTCGAGTAGAAGCTTGTCCGGCGTTACATGGACATGTAATAAGGATGAACTGTTACTCTTAAGAGGGTTTCTTATGAAGTTTACTAAAATGTGCTCCAAAAGTAAACTGTAGATATGATTATAGTCTCTCAGATGTAGAAGAACCTCAAAGAATTTTTTTTGTAGCTGACATTGACTAATCTGTGTGAGCCTTAACATGCAATCGTCGTCCATATAGCTAATTTGCGGACCCTAAGTTAATTGGAGTTCAAGATGATATGGCAGGTTGAATTAAGCTTATTGTGTATATAAACAGAAAATCCATGATTAAATCTGATAAATAGTTACAAATAATTTGGGGCTAAATGCTATCTCATGATGCTTCATCTGTCGGCCAAAATCATTCATAGACCACTCCACTAAACAATCAGAATCAGTAGGACTAGAATTCTTCCAGATATAACATCAGCCTCATGTTCAGAGATATTTAGTGGAAAGGGTTTGTAAACGCAGGATTGTTTCTTTTTCATCTGTTGCAGCTTGGATGGCATTTTAATATAGAAGTTCAAAAATAAAAAATCTGCTTTGGATTAAAACGTCTCAAATCTTCTATTTTTTTTTTAATTTTTATTTTTGTTGATTTTGCTTGTTTTTGCGGCTCTTATATAAAGGGCTAAGATTGATGCACATGATTTCATGAACAATGTTTGCAATTTATAGGTCAGAAGAGCTGATGGTTCTCCTTCTGATGCACCCCCTGGTTGTAAGGATGCATTATCATCTATTGGAACACAAACTTCAGGGCAAATGTCAATAAGCAACAATTCAAAGCAGTTTGATTATGCATCCATTCCAGATTACCCATGCCAGCAGGATTATCCTTTACCAGAAATTGAACAGGATATGGGAATGCTTGGACTGGTGCAAAACACACCGGAGAAAGTGAACTATAGTTCAAGACAGATGGAGGATATTTCTGCTTCTGATTCTGCATTTAAAAAGGAATTTTCTTCTTTGTCTGCTCAATCTGATCCCAAGAACAAACACCTGAATTTACAGAGATCTCAAAAGGCTCAAACATCAGATGTGGGGGCAGGAAGCTGTAGTTCATTAAGTTTTGATTGCTCGCCTTCTGTTAATTCTTACTGCACGCAGGATGAGCTGTCTCCACTGGCTGAATCTGGTGTTAAAGATAGGCCTTCCAACAAGGGACCCCAATGTGGGCAAACTTCTCATGCGAAAACTGCTGGCCATGGAAGTTCAGAAAGTTCTTCTGAAGATTCTAAGGCTTTTCTCGACAAAGTTCTTTTTGATATCTGCCAGGTCAGAACAGGAAATGTGGTCACGCTAAAGTCTTCTCTATTTGTGAAGAACAGAGAAAAGCGAAATGTAGTTAAGCGCTCCTTGGAAGGGGAAAATATAATAGTATTGAGGTCTGGAATGGTTCTTCTAAAGAGTTACCTTTCCCACAGTGACCAGGTGCTACTTAGTGCTATGTATCTATTCTTTGATTTTGAATGCTATCATTCGTTTGTTCCTTACTGATTGAAATATTAACACTGCAAGAAGGGTTGCTTTTTATTAATTTTAGTATAAAATTAAGACTATTTCTTCTTATATGTGTAACCAACAAATTACAGAGGGTTTCTTTTTATTAAACTTAGGATAATAGTACGTCTATTTCTTCTTTATGTCTGCGATCAACAAACTACAGGGATGGAGTGCCATGGCTTATAATGTACCCTAGGAAAAATGTCTCTGACCATTAAATAGCTTATGACAATTTCCCTCAGAAGAGTTCCCATGAATTGTAGTAGCCGTAAAGTATCTTTGTCATACCCCAAATTGGCACATGAGTAAGGAAATCCCCATTTTGGTATTCAGATCGTGAGATTGATTTGATGTTTTACTGTTGGCCTCTTATTGTGAAGCTGTTTGAGTAGTCCTCCCAAAACTTATCAATTATTGCTTGTAAGTGTACCATCTATGTTGTTCTGTTTATGCATAAAAGTAAAGGTAATTACCTAAAATTGTCCTGTCGTTTAGGGTCCTACTTTTCCAATTAATTTAATCAAAGATCATATATTTAATGTTCAATGAATCATTCATCAAAAGAATATGCCCAATATCTTGCTTCCTCTTTGTTTTTACGTCAATTGACAATCTGATACTTTTGTGGTCCTAGGTCAGGATAGTCAAGAAGTGCAGCGAGCTTGGCCGGGGTCCTGGAGGTTTCTATCAGCCTGGTTACCGAGATGGAGCAAAGCTGCAATTGAAGATGATGTGCCTTGGTAAGATATGGGACCCTGAGACAAGTATGTATGTAAATGAACGACCAATTGATGGTGCTAAGCCTCCTGGCATCCCTAACGAATTTAATCAGTTTGTGGAAGAAGCGATCAAAGATTCCCATGCCATTTTAGGAAAAAAGCTTAAACGGCAGAAAGTAGAAGACATACTTCCCTCGATGTCACCAAACATCTGCATTGTCAATTTTTATAGACAAAGTGGCCGGCTTGGTCTCCATCAGGTTTGTGAATCACTTATTATTATATTCACGTTATTGAAGAAGTCACAATTTTAGAACATTAACGTTAATTTAATACGACAATTATGGTTCCTGTTATTTATTATACACACTCCAATTCATTAGATTTCTCTCAGCTGCTTCAACCTTAACTGGCTAGTAGCTGCAATATTGCAAGTTTCCCTTTCCTACAGTTTATTGGTTAATCAAATATAACTAGGGTCTGCTCAAGTATTAGGCATTAATACAGTTGTCTAAGGTCCCATACATTTCCATCATCTGACTTCATTGTAAATTTTCTTTAATATTTAGCACTTTCAAACTCTTTGATATGGGCCCACAAATATTGATTGAATTTAAAGCATGCATTCTTTCCATTTCTTATATTGAATTCAATTGTGCGGTAACTCCTTAGCCTTATGCTTAAACTATTTAAATTATTTTCTTGCCCTTTTCTTAGTCTTTTAGTCTTCTAACTTATTACCTTTATTTTTTTTTTATTTTTATCTAGACTCCTCATTAGTTAATTAGTAAAAAAATTTATAATCTTTTAAGAGTTAATTAATATTATTTAGGGTAAAGTGCCAAAAAAAAAACCCTTGCTATACAAAAAATGTGCCAGAAACACCCCCACTAAAGATTAAGTGCATATAAATACCTGTATTTTCAACATTTGGAGCAAATTGCCCTAATGGTCAATTTTGACCATTTTTTTTTTTTTTAATTTATAAAAACCCCAAAATGCCCACTGCTGATGTAAGCAAGGAAAAAAATATAATTCAATATTATATATAAAAATATATGTATATGTGTGTGTGTGATTAGTCCACTGCGTCCATTTTTTCCCGCGATTGCATTTAGTCTATGCAAAACCATTGGTCTGCACTTGCTTTCTCCCACTTTTACAAATATGATTAGTATTTGGCATCACTTCCTCTTCATTCGGCGACATCATCAGAAAAAATGGACAATTACTTCTGAACCAAATCAGCGAACCCATAGGACGGTCGACGCGGCGGAACCCAATAGGATGATGCAAGGACGAACGATAGCCAATCAGGTGCCGATGCCGTGAATCGTGTCCTCAATCCTTTGCATCGCCATGGCCTCACGCTGTTGTTCGGAGTCGGAATGATTGGGATCGCGAATTTGAGGGTTATTGGACTGGCTCGATTGGTTTTGGAGGGTTGCGATGCGAGACGTGACGGGTCGGTGGGGATTTGGTGGCAAGGAGAGATGAGGAGTTGTATGGGTCTGTTTGATATGACTCAACTCCATAAATCGGCAACATCGTGGTGGTGGCGGTTATGTGGGTACGGATTGTGACGGTGGTTGTGGGGTGGAGGTGAGGGGGGGTAATTGCACATTTTGTATATTATGTGGGTTTTTTTTTGGCACTTAACTGTATTGAAATATTAAATATAAAAAGGCCTCCTTTAAGGTTCTTGCCTTATTCTTCATCTGTGTCGATTCAACCCTGAATGCACATTATGGAAATGAAAGGAAAATTAAAGGGGAGAGATGAAACTTGGAAGGAGCTATATCTGCACTTTTTGGATTGTTTTGTCATTGAATATAATGTTAGATGAACCTTGGGATGACACCTTATTCACTTTGCTTCATGCAGGATAAAGATGAGAGCCCAGAAAGTCTCCATAAAGGACTACCTGTAGTCTCGTTCTCCATTGGCGACTCTGCAGAATTCTTATATGGTGATCAGAGGGATATAGATAGTGCAGCGAAAGTTATATTGGAATCAGGAGATGTTCTGATTTTTGGTGGGAAATCTAGACACATATTTCATGGGGTGAGTGCCATTCTCCCAGATACCGCTCCTAAGGTCCTTTTGGAAGAAACAAAGTTCATCCCCGGCCGTCTGAATCTGACTTTCAGAGAGTATTAGCATCATTATAGGTTTGCACTCATACATCTATGTGGTAATGCCGTAATACACAAAAGGTTTCTAGTGAATTAGATATATGATTATATGATAGTTTTGAAAGTTGTCTCTTAGAGATGAACATGGAGAAAGTTTGAACCATTGGTATGTTTGTTATGCTATGTAGATAAATTCATAGTTTGTATGCTGTCCCCCATTCCTGTTGAACGGAGCTCATATTGGTTGGGGTAGATTGGATATTTCTTGCTTGTGATTTTTTGATATATTACGTTTCTGTTAGTGGTTTATGAGGATGGGTTTGCATATATGGTACGAAATGATTTTTTGACAGATAAATTGTTTTGAACAAAAAATTAGCCATTATACGACATTAAGGTGGTTTCAGTCTGAACTTTAGTCACACTGGACCAGGCAATGTGGACCCCTAGTTGGGTATAAAAAATGAGTTCGAAAATGTTATCCAGAGGGAAATTGTTCTTGAACTTGGTAGTCTTGAATAAGGAGGAGTCAATACCATTTCAGGAACCTTCTCATTATCTGTCCCTGCTCCTACCCTGTTTCAGGCTTCTAATCTTTCATCTTCTTATTAGGTTTTTGCCGTCCTCGTATAACTATTAATGTATACTTAGTTTCCTGAAAAAATGAATTATGTCATTGCATAAACTTCTTGTCATCACTCTCAGCCACCATGCCATCATCTCAAACCCTCATATTCAATATCCTGCCTATCGGTAGAATAATTACAGGGGGCACCATTGAATGTGCTGATGCTTCTATAGCCACTGCGAAAACATACAGAACAATCCCACGAGCACCGTTTGAGCTGCGCTGTTTGAAACAGCTCCACCGAAGTTGTGCTCACATCGGGTGTGACCAATCTTTCAGGCGTTTACTTCTTTGCTCTCACGGTAGGGTACGACCTGCTCCTTGATCTGGCCTAGTGCTATCTTCGCATCACCATACCACCAAACACTTGCACTCTCTCTTTCCCTAATGGTTTCCTTAGGATTTGTATATATGGTATGAAATGTTATCTGTTGGACTGCAATGCAAAATGAAATCACTCCCATTCAGCAGTTCATGCTCAACAAAAAAAATAATAATTTGAGAGGGAGCGATCTTTAACTATAATAAAAATAAAATAAAAATTAAATTATCACCATAAACAAAAAAGGCTTTAAAATTAATTCATATTTTCAAAAACGTTTCTCATACTTCTATTTCGATTATTTTTTCTGATATAGCTACTCAAGCACGTGCTTTTATTTATTTGTTTTTCGGTAAATTAGGTATTAAAAAAAGGGTCAAAACTGAACAAAGGAGTAGGCAAAAGCCCAGAAGGTCCAAATACCACAAGCCCAGAGGCAGCCCACAAAACAAACACCCAACCCAAAACCACCTATAGGCTATTGAAACAACAGCAATTTACATTAACGCTCTCACTTCCACGTGCGTCCTCCATCGCACACCATGTGACTTATATTCCGATAAATAATTTTTTATTTTTAATTTCTAGATTTATTTTCTGTTTAATTTTTACTCACAAGTGGGGACTTTTTGCGATATCTATGTCAGGATTCATAATTTTATTCAATTTTTTGCCATTTATTTATTTATTTTTTTACAAATTTTTAAATTTTCACACACACACACATATATATATATATATATTGTTTTTATAAATTTCACTGTAAGTGGTAGTGTTATTGTGCCATATACTATGATTCCCATTTTTTTTTTTTAATTCTTGTATTATTTATTGATTTATTTTAGCTTTCCAAATTTATTTATTTTTATTTTTTGACTTTTAATTCTCACATGTTATATATGGTATGAATTTTTATTTATTTTATGCTTAAATTCATTATTCATCAATTTAGTACAAAATATAACAACTAAGCATTTTTAATAGAGGACAACTTCTTAAAATTCATAAATAGGTTATTTTTTTTGGAAGGTAAAAAAAAAAAGGTTATTACTTGTGTTAAATGATCTTAAAAAATTTATTATAGGCTTATCAACAACTGCGACCACATATGTCTTTATAATTAAGTGGGTTAATACATCCGGTGAATTTTGAAGTGTCAAACTTTGACGCTCTGCATCTACTAATTTAACTGAACCACCTATTAAAAAAGAATATGGCTTAATCTCACTATTTAAATTATCAATTAGGCTCCGTTTGTTTCGACGTAAAATATTCTTTTTGGAAAATATTTTTCCTTTTTAGGTAAAATATTTTTTTATTTTTACTTTGTCGATATTTGGAAAAGGTCTATATTGAGATTAAGGTCAAATCCATTGGGCAGAGCATGTAAAATAACTTGTCGAAAATTTGATGGATAAGTTATTTTGTTAAATTTTAATATATTTTTTTTCTTTGTAAATATTTTACGACAACCAAATATTATAAAATAAAAAATATTTTCTGAAAAATATTTTACATCCAAACAAACGGAGACTAAATTTAAGCCCAATTTGATTGTAATTTTATAATTTTTATTTTATTTTAATAAGAGCAGAGTAGCAGTGATTGAACGTTGCTTGATTTTTTTCAAAAAACGAATCGAACTGTCTGACTAGAAGCGTGAATGGATGAAAATGTGGCATTGGCATAATTTCACAAGCAAGGAGAGAGAAGAATAATATGAGAGAAACCAAATGACTCCTAGTCCAACATGATATAATTTTTCATTTCGGCATACGAAGGGAGGGGTTTGAGCCCACACATAAGTGTGTGTGACCAACTTAACCTAAGTAGGAGTGGGAGCAAGAGTGAGAGAGAGAGAGCACAAGTGCAAGACTGACCAAAAGTGCAAGAGTGGCAAAATCTAAGTTAAAAGCAAGCAAGAATGAAAACGCGCACAAAGCGTCAGAGTACATGTGAAGTATAAGAGCAACACCCTACCTGAGAGTGAAAAGGAGTCTCAATTGCATTGCCTAAGCCCGTTGTGAGATGGTGGTCTTACCTCTGGTTGACAGTTCTTCTTTCTTTTTCTTTTTCTTTTTCTTTTTCTTTTTCTTTTTTTTTTTTTTTTTTTTTTTTTTTTTTGTCCTTTTAGTGTATATTTTTCTTGGAACGGTGTCTGTTAATTTTTGCCTTTTCGTTTTTGTCGGTTTTTGGAAATGGCATTTTCCAATATGTATTTCTGAGAGGGGATGCCCTCCTATAGCTTTGTAATTGTTTTGGTTTGGTAATGAAAGTTTACTTGGTTAAAAAAAATAATTGTTCTTAAATTAACTGAATTATGTCATTGCATAAACTTTTATCTATCAATATTCATGTGTCAACATAAATTACTAAAATTTTGTCATAAATGGATTTGTTTAAATCTCAATATGGTCATAGTATAATGGATGAGACATTAATATATAGTTAGCTTATGATATGGAAAAGATAATAGTTTTCCTATGATCAAGACGTGGAACAGCGGCAGCTAGTGAGTTTGAATTTTCAATTCAGCTTTTGGCTTCAACACCACCATCTCTCTCTGATGCGGAAAAGTAGGGTATGGAGGACGATGTTTTCAATCTCTAACAAATCATGGAAAATATATTTTAATACTTTCTCAATTTTAAAATTACTTTCAGTTACAACAATCTATATAATATTATGATCCAATCTCTGTGATAACAAATCTCCAAAATAAGATATTACAAAAAATGTGTAATGGTCATTACCTAAAAAGCCCTCTCCTTCTCTTTACTTCCCCTATAAATTAGCATGTTATGAAGCTGTTAAGGAAGCACAAGACTAAAAGAAGCTGACTTATTACTAGCTCCAAGTGCTCAACTTTTAGCTAGCAATGGCCTTTCCTTCAGCCCTTCTTGTCATCACTCTTACCCTACTTATCTCAGCCACCATGCCATCATCTCAAGCCCTCAGAGTCAATAACCTGCCTATCGGTAGCATACGTACAGGGGGCACAATTGTATGTGCAGATGCTTCTATAGCCACGGCTAGAACTTACAGACCAATCCCACGAGCACCGATTCAACTGCTCTGTGGAAGCGGTTCCACCGACGTTGTGCTCGGTCAGGTTGTGACCAATCTTTCAGGCGTTTACTTCTTTGTCCTCACGGTGGCTGATACCCTACTCATTGATCCGAACAGGTGCTATCTCCGCGTCACCATACCACCAAACACTTGCACTCTCTCAATCCCTAATGGTTTCCTCAGGATTCCTTTGGTGGTGCTTGATGTTGTCCAAGCCACGCTTGGGAACGTGCTTCTTTTCGGTCAAGGTCCTTATTCCTATGTGCCTTACTGAGTGAGGGTTAGGACTATGCCCTCTGCCACTAATAAGATAAAATTAAATAAGTGCAATCACACTTTTAATGTCGTGTTTTTCAAGTCTACCAATCATCATATCATATGTTTCTTGGTAGACACAGTTGAGTAAGTTTTTTTTATCTTTCAGTATTAATGAAATATGGCATGGTTATTGATCATCACTTTTGTGTCCTTATCTCTCATCATTTATCTATAAATCACACAGTAAACAGTGTGTTTTTCACTTGCGGCCTTACTCGGTGACCCAACGGCTCGGTTTGTGTAGATTGAAATAGTCTTGCTTGTGATTTTTTTGACAGATTATTTTTCTCTTAATGGATTATGAGGATATGGACATGCGTATATAGTATGAATGTAAGATTTCTATGGCGCACATGTATTTGACATGTGATGCACTTTCGTGAGAGAGTGATTTAGTGGATAGAAATCAGATTGGTAGTGATAACCCATTACTCCTCCTAACTGAAAACTTAAATAAAGGGTAAAGTAGCTTTAGTTATACAAATTAAATAAAGGGTAAAGTGAAAAAAACTCTGAATTATATTTGAATTTGTAAATAATTTCGTTGAATTATATTTTATACATAAAACTCCTTAAACTATTACATTTTGTTACAACATACTCCAATGTCTATACTATATTTCATTAAATAACCATAATACCCATTCTTATTTACATTTAATATAATCTAAATAAATTATGAAAAAAAAATTATACTAATTTGATGACATATTCTCCATTAAATTTGCATAAGACCTTTAATTTTTGAAATAAATTATTTAAATAAAAAATTTTAGTAGAAATTTTTTAAAAAAAAAATTAATTAGTTTTTACATTTTTAATGAATATATTACATGAAAAGAAGGTGTTTTTTTTTAAGCATTTTATTAATTTTTCATCAATATATTGTATGAAAAAGAAATATTTTTTTTACAATAAAAATGTTTAAATTGGTTATAATAAGTTTTATTACAAATAATAAAGTTTATATAATAAGTTTATCAATTTAGAAACTGGTAGTTAGAAATCTATTTATCTATTTTTTTTTTCTTTTCATTTTTATGATAAATTGATACTATAATAAAAGTAAGGTGAATAGCATAATTAATATTTACATAAGAGAAAAGATAATAAAAATAATTTAATAATAAATAAAAAATTTAATGAGAAAGGGTAAAATAATCTTTTGTGATGTGTTTAACCTTAATTGCAACAAATTAATAATTCAGGGAGACAGTTTTTAGTTCAGGAGGTTATTTGCAAAAGAACAACAATTTAGGATTTTTTTTTTTAACACTTTACCCTTAAATAAATTTACGAGTGTGTATATGTATATAAGCTCCCTGTATCCTGTCAAACGTTCATGTTTTCTAAACCAGCACTGAACCTTGTATGCACAGCAAAGAGACTATTTGCAGCCATTTTCTAAAAAATGAGGGGGGAAAAGGTTCAATAAATGGAGATAGTGTAAAACAAATAAGTTCATCCAGTAAGTAATAACCAAAGCTGCTCAAAATTACATTCCATAGGTTAGTACCCACTCATTAAATCTTCAACCTCACTTTACGAACAATAAAAAAAAAAAAAAAAGTTGCTTAGTGATGCAGCCCATGCTCCATTTTCAATTGGGAGGAGAAGATTGAAGACAAATTGTCAAATAAATGGTTTTGACAAATAAAATTTTTTGAACAAAAAATTAGCAATTATCTAAAATTAAGTTGCACTCTGAACTTTAATCATTGGACCAAGGAAAGCAATGAATCCAAGATATGTACAAAATTTGGTTCGAAAAATGTTAACTAGAGAGAAATTTGATCTTTAATTAAACTTGAGTCTTAAATAAGGGTCAATAATGTTTCAGGAACCATCTGATACCCCCGTCAATGCTCCTACCCTGTTTTGGAATTCCAATACCCCCATCAATGCTGTCATCTTTGTTATTTATAAGTGGGTGTTTCTCATATGATTGTTAATGTGTACTATTATTGTACTTTTTTCTTTTTCTTTTCTTTTTTTTTTTTTTTTTTTTTGGGATTGGCGGTAGTGTGATGGTGGCGTCACCATGTCAGGCTCTTAGAGTATTCAATAATTCACTCCCGGATACATACAGTCCTCCTGTATCACATGTATTGAGAAAAAATTCCTCGAGAATAAATCCAAAGAGGTTCCAACCCTAACCTCAAAACATTTTCAATATATACTAAGGGGCATTGAAATAGACCTGGGCCGAAGGAGAACCGAAAACAGCAAGCCCAACCTAGGGACCAACGCAAAACGCAAACAAAGCTTGACCTAGACCCATTAAACAAATAACAATTTAATGGAAAAACCTGTTAGAGGCAGGGTAGGAGTTAAGTCACACAGAGCGGGTACTCGAGAGAGAGCGAATGCGAGAACGGGAGTATAGGAGCGGCAAAATCTAATTCACATAGTGGAATTAGGAGTAAGAGTGTGCGTGGTGTGCGAGAGCAAGAGCACGTGCGTGGCGTAAAAACGACACCCCTTTTAGAAGAATTACGTGACTTAGGGCGGAAAGCTTCAATAAAGATCTAAGGCAATCTCATGCTCCCTCAGTCCCAAAATAAATGTTCACTTTCTCATTTTTTATTGTTCCAAAATAAATGTTTGCATTTGAAAAGTCAAAGTACAATTTTTGTAATATTACCAATTTAACCTTCAATTTATAAAAATTAAACCATCATATCTCTTTGGACTTGTTATGGATAGATTTGGTAATTTATTCACTTCTAATACAATAAAAAAAAGTTACTAGAACACATTCTCTTGAAAAGTTCAATTTCTGAAAAGGGACGTTTATTTTGGGACAGAGGCAGAAATTCGTAAGTCTATAGAAGGTCAACCAGCTATTGAAGTTAAAGAAGACACTTACCAACGGGCCAGTTCTTTACTTTCTAAAAGGAGGTCAGGGGTTCAAGTCTCAGAAGAGACAAGTGTGTGTGAGTACCAATTAGAAAAAAAAAAAAAAAAAAGTTAAAAAAGACACCTTTTATTTATTTATTTATAAAGATGGCAAAACACTCCACCGGTGAAAAAGCAAGAAAATGTTCTTCTAATTTAGGAAGGATTTTCTCACTCTCCAAAACAACGTGCCTCTTTATTCTTCGCTAACTTCTATTTATAGTAGTTTACATTTTGCCTTAATTTACTATATTTTTCCTTCCAAGTCAGAAGTTCATGAGCCTCCTCCCGCTGTGGGGCGATTTGTCAACCCAAACTAACCCGAACGAAGGCCAAAGCCTTGCTATTTTGGACTCTGCATATACTGGGCCTAACCTTTGGGCCTTAAGGTTTATGAAGGGCCTAGTCGGTCGGGCGATTTGGGCTGGATCTGGCCAGGTTCGGGTTTGTTGACGTTTCCTACCCTTTCAGCTAGGTACCCTTTCCGTCTAGAACAATTATGGAGGTTGAAAAAATGGTTTTGGGTCAAAATAGGGTTAGTATTGAAAATCCCTGAATTTCACTCTAATAATATATGTTATATTAAAAAATATTAGGTATATAATAAGCAAAAACTTACTTCTCTTATTCCAATCACTAACTTCTGCCACTCAACCCACCTCTCTCAAATTGCATCTGCATTATTTATAATAATTTGTTATGTTCATAATACAATTACAAGAGTATCTTTAAATTGTATCTCTCTTCTTATATTGTTTCGAAAATATATATTTGGTATATAATAAACGATTTTGAGTTGGATGAGAGGGAGCTACGCTACATGGGGATAAGATTCCCATCCTAAACTCGTCCCATTGTCATCCTGTAACGACCCTAGCTGATGCCAAAATTTTAAAAAAATTCGGCATAACCTCCCCTAAAAATGGGCCTTCAACAACCTGTCCCAAAACACAAAACACATAAAATCATCTAGCATCTCATTCATCCGTTCATTATACCTTAACATAGTTCCTTTTATGGTGGAACATCCACACCCCAATTAATCTAAATTATCATAATTACAGTCCCAAAATACAAGATTAATATTTAAAGTCCCTGTCTTACAACGTTACATGATACAATTGCATGGAAACATATACCATAATTCCACTAGTTTCATTTACATCAAACAAAAGATAAGTTCGTTCTTAAGTTACAAGGCCATGAATACTAACTTAGTTACATTTCCACAACTACGAATATACATAGAACGGTTAAAATACAAAATAGCAAACAACCTTCTAACAATTTTCAAGCTTGAGGTGGATTGTCGTCCACTAGTTCATTTCCAAGACCTGAAAAAAATAATATAAATAGTAGGGTGAGCATAAAGCTCAGCAGGTGACACTTAAGACACACATCTTGTGTCCTTGTGAGTCCAAACAAAGCATAGGCCAATGGGAAATGGGGATCATACAATGTCGGGGAATAATACAGCATAACGATTCAATGTCAAGTATATCCAATGCAATGGTATGAGATGCAATGCATGCTAGTGTTGCTTCCCATTTTCATAATCCAAAACATCATTTCCAAACTTTTAATACAGCCCGCCCTTTGGTAGCCTCGCCGCGACATGAGAGGAGGATTGGCTAGTGTCCCTGACCATTGTTAACCCCACGGCGTCATTATAGGGCCCAGCTAGCTCAACCACGTTAGGGCGACTCCCTAGTCCCCTCTAGGCTATGTTAACCTCTGGCCCGTTGGTAACCCCGCAGCGACCGGGTTTCGCATAAAACCATTTCATCAAAAACACTTCCCTGAAATTCCCCATATTTATTTTAAGAACAATTTCTCCCATTTCATGCAAACCCAATGGTATGTGCATGTATCTATGTTCCATACATTCAATGTGATGGCATTTAAAATTCTACACCATAAAATTAAACATTCAACATGTTCAACATCTCCCAAGTAATTATTAACACATTAAGATACATCAAAATACATTTAAGCATGCTTTACACATAAAACAACTCACATTCAAATACATGAATTTCTCTAGACAACATTTAAAAT